AAAAAAAAAAAAAAAAAAGAATATAAATAAGTGAAGTGAGTCTAGTATAAGGCAGTAGGGAGAGGTAGGGACTGTGGAAACCATGCCCAGCCTAAGAAGCAGCTGCTGCTCAACTCTAGTTGAAGTTTCCTAAGCCCAGTGTAACCAAGGCTTTCAATTAAGAGAAGCTTGAACTATTTTTTTTAACTTGAAATATCTCAAATTTTGATTGTTGACAATCAATTTGATTCAAACATCCGCACATAGAATAGTGTTTTATTTGGTATGTTAAAAGACTTCCACAGGCCACATTCAGTTCATAGGTCATAAGTTTGCAGCCTCTAAGAAACGTGAGCAATTTGGAACCAAAAATGGCAGCAGGGTCGAAAGCTTGGAATGGATAATTTACATTGACAAGTTCTTTCATTCTCTGTCCTTGGATAAGGGACAGTCTCATCAGGCCTTTGTACTAATTCCCATCTATGAAAGAAAATAAATCCTTTTTCTCTCCCATTCCATCCAATGTCCGGGAACCTAAAATAACATTTAGTCTTCTCCATCTCTTCCTTCTGATTCTCTTTGTATATATTGAGTGGTGAATGAACTCCATGTGTACTGAGCTAGGCAAGGGTTTATGATCTTTTAGCCTTCTGAGATGGAGATGGATAGATGCACAGAAAGTATTCACAGAAGGTAGAAAGCTGTTTTGCAAGATTTCTTGGATAAGCTATAATATAGTTTATTGGTTATTTAAGAGTATGCTTATTGATTAAAGATATTATCCTTACAACAGTCCTGGCATTTCACTTAAATATATTGGTATTCAGAGAGCGTATCAGTCAGTTTTTACTAAGTAATGATGCAGTAACGAACAACCCCTGAGTCTCGGTGGCTTGCAACAAATACACATTTTTTTTGCTCACAGGTTGATTGCATCTCCCCTCTATTTTGTCTTTATTCCGAGACCTGAGCTGAAGTTGCTGCTTGGGCCTAGCTTCAAAGTATTCTCATGCTAGAAGGGAGAAGAGAAAAATTGCATGATGACTTTTAAACTTTCTGCTCAAAAGTAGCAAACATCACTTCCTCTCACATTTTATGGGCAGCCAAAGCAAGTTAAATGGCCAAGTCTGATGTTGATGAGATGGGAGAAGGATAATCCTCCCATAGGGAAGGGTAATATTTGGAAACAATAAAAAAAAAAATATCCCACAGAGGGTACTGTCTCAGGCACTTAGAAATAGAGAAATAAGAACTAACAGGGAGCCAGGTACAGTGGGGCACACGTGTAATCCCAGCACTTTGGGAGCCTGAGGCAGGAGGATCACTTGAGCCCAGGTGTTCAAGACCAGTCTGGGCAATATAGCAAGACCCCATATCTAAAAAAAAAAAAAAAAAAAAAAATTTCGTTAGCTGGGTGTGGCACATGCCTGTGGTCGCAACTGTTAGGGAGGCTGAGGCAAGAGGATCACTTGAGACCAGGACTGAGCCATGATCATGCCACTGCATGCCAACCTGGGTAACAGAGCAAGACTGTCTCTGGAAAAAAAAAAAAGAGGTGGGGAGACTAACAGGGAAGGTCACTAACAGCTATTGTTAGAAAAACAAAGCTAGTCCCCAAAGTCTGTTCTGACCCTGCTAGGGGCCACTGAGGTCATCTGAGTGGTGAGTGGTTAAAAGCATGGTACCTGAAGTCAGACTTCCTGGGTTCAAATCGTAGCTCTACCATTTACTATCTGTAAAACCTTGGATATATTACTCAACCCTTTTGTGCCTCAGCTTCCTCTTTTAAGCACACGTACCTCATAGGGCTATTGGGGGGATTCAACAAATGAATAATAGATACAGATATAGACGTAGATATAGACAGACACAGAGAGACAGAGAGCGAGAGCACTTGGAACAGTATTTGGCACATAGTAAGTATTGGCTGTCACTACAGCAATGATGACTGGAAAGCCATCGGTCCAAATGCATCTCAGCTACCTAGATTACTCCAGGTAAGAATCCCGTATTAAAATGCAGGTACTTGTGGGAGGGCTAAAACCTTAAGTTCAGCTAATACCTTCTTGGGGATTACTGTGAGAGCAGCTTCTAACAGGATATGACCCAAGAGAGGGATCTGGAGATGGAGAAAATGGAAGTTGGTGGACAGGAACCCCCAAAATACCACGAAGAAAGTACGACAAACTAGGCGGCTTCAATGACAGAAATGTATTTTCTCATAATTCTGCAGGCCAGAGGCCCAAGATCAAGGTGTTGGCAGGACTGGTTTCTTCTGAGGCCGCTCACCTTGGCTCGTAGCTGGCCATCTTCCTCCAGGGTGTTCACATGGTCTTTGCTCTGTGTGTCTGTGTCCGAATCTCCTCTTCTTTAAAGGACACCAGTCTTATTGGATTAGGGTCCACCCATATGCCCTCAATGTACCCTAATTACCTCTTTTTTTTTTTTTTTTTTTTTTCCAAGTGATTCTCCTGCCTCGGCCTCCCAAGTAGCTGGGATTACAGGCACCCGCCACCACACCTGGCTAATTTCTGTATTTTTAGTAAAGATGGGATTTCACCATGTTGGCCAGGCTGGTCTTGAACTCCTGACCTCAGGTGATCCGCCCACCCCAGCCTCCCAAAGTGCTGGGATTATAGGCGTGAGCCACCGCGCCCAGCCTCTTTAGTATTTTTTGTAGAGACGGGGTTTCGCCATGTTGCCCAGGCTGGTCTTGAACTGCTGACCTCAGGTGATCCACCCACCTCAGCCTCCCAAAGTGCTGGGATTACTGGCATGAGCCACCACGCTCAGCCCCTAGTTACCTCCTTAAAGGTATTATCTCTAAATACAGTCACATTCTGGGATGCTGGAGGTTATGGACATAATTCCACCATAACACTCAGTTACACATTAGAATCCCCAAGAGATGCCCAGACCAGGCCCTAGACCAAGAGCATCAGAACTTCTGTGTGTGAAATACAGGGCTCTGACCTTCTTAAAACACCCCAGGGCCTCCTGTGTGTTGCCAAGGTTGGTCAGCACTGGAGCAGCTGGACTTCCACTCAGAGCACTCTTTGGTGGTCCATATTTTGCTGCGCCATGCATCTTCATGAATTTCTCCATCATGATCCAGCTGAACTGACCAGGAGAAGAACACTTGCTGACGAAGACGAGAGAGAGAGATGGCCAACATCGAGCATTTGTCTTCCCTCTCCTCCTGATTGATCACTTTATACAATAATAAAACTTTTAAAAGGTTGAACCTGAACTGAGGCTGTGACTGTGACACAATTAATCAAACTCTTGAAGAATCATGTTACATTATGTGCTTCAAGCATTGATCCACTTCACTAAAAGTTGGCCTGAAATACAGCCTAGACACAGGATATTGGATCTGTAAGAAACGGCCGGGATGCTGTCAATTGCTTTGTGTCTCTGTGTGATATGTGGTCCTATAGCAGACCAGACCATAAAGCAGGACAAATTCCAATGCATCAGAAAGGACATCATCCAGTCCCCAGCTGGCCTCAAATTGCTAGGAGTGGAACTACAGAGAGGAGAGAGCTGATTACAGCATGTTCCTGAAACCTGCTATCATAATACCTTCATCCACGAGGCTCCCAGTCTCCTTCCCTCTTCTTGAATTGATTCCAGACAATACCAGGATCTCTGACACCATAAAGTTTTATCCAGAGAGGCACAAATTTGGGTCCTCTCTAAATCAAAGTTTTGAAGGACCAAGCGCATCCCCTCTCCACTCTTTTTTTTTTTTTTTGAGACAGAGTCTTCCTCTGTCACCCAGGCTGGAGTGCAGTGATATAATCATAGCTCACTGTAGCTTCATTCTCCTGGGCTCAAGTGATCCTCCCACTTCAGCCTCCTGAGTAGCTGTGACTACAGTTGTGTGCCACCACATGGGACTAATTTTTAAATTTTTGTAGAGATAGGGTTTCACTATGCTGCCCAAGCTGGTCTTGAACTCCTGGCCTCAAGCAATCCTCCTACCTTGGTCTCCTAAAGCACTGGGATTACACGTGTGAGCCACTGCACTGGACCCGCATCCCTCTTGCATTTACAGGGAGGCATCAAGCCAGTAATAATATCTAGCATCTCTGTGCAGTGCTTTCTAGTTAACCGAGCAGTTAAACATCCCCAAACATTTGAGCTTCACAACAGCTCCATGAGATAGGGGAGCCTCGATTTCTCATCCCCATTTCCCAGAAAATGAAACTTGCTGGGAAAGGAATGTGAGTTGCCAAGATCATAGAATATGTGGTAGAACTGGAATACAGTACCTAGTTTTAGGACTTAGATCCCAGATCCTGTGGCTTTTGGTAAGTCCCTGCTCCAGGCAACATTGGAGACCACAAAAGAAATCAGATATTGTACTGGCCCTAGGCAAAATCAGGTAAAGGCAAAGTTCCTTTGATGCTTTGGTCCTCTCCTCTGGATATCCCTCCCACCCTGTGGCGCTCATTGCGTCAGCTCACACTTTGACTAGCATCTCTGGGTCCTAAAGTCTCTCTGTCTCTCTGTGTTCCCCTCTTAAAACTACCCTGTCTTAGCTGGCCCAGTAGGAAGAATCAGACGTGCCCTCAAAGCCCAGCTTGACCTAGCTGCATGACCTTGGGCAAGTTACATTTTGCTTTTGTGTTCCCTCCTCTGTGAAATGGACTTTTACTAGAACCTACTTCCTTAGGGTTGAGTGAAAGATTGTATGAGTCATGTACATCAAGCACTCTGGACCATGAATCGTGTTTATCAAGTACTTCACAAGGGCAGTTGTTTTTTCTTAAATGATTTATTTTTAGGCGTTCATTATCTATAACAGGCATAGTAGCTGACCTTTCGCAGGTCCTGCTATGTAATGCTGTGCATTGACTTGTTCTCATGGTATTTTCATATATTCTTTCATTGAATTCTCATGTCAACCCTAGAAAACAAGTCCTATTATTACTCCCACTTTACAGATAGAGAAACTGAGACACAAAGAAGTTAACAAGAGCCAGCAAGGGACAGGACCTGGAGTGCAGCCCAGAGGGTCTAACTCCAGAACCAGCACCACCAACTCAGGCACAAAGCTGCAGTTGCAGAGGGGTTGGTGACAAATGTCTAGTTGTGCCCCTAGCCATTTGCATTTTTAAAGGAAACTGTCTGGTCCCAGCATGGTGACTCGCGCCTGTAATCTCAGGACTTTGGGAGGCTGAGGCAGATGAATCACCTGAAGTCAGGAGTTCGAGACCAGCCTGGCCAACATGGCGAAACCCTGTCTCTACTGAAAATTTTTTTAAAAATTAGCCAGGTATGGTGGCAGGCGCCTGTAATCCCAGCTACTTGGGAGGTTGAGGCAGGAGAATCGCTTGAACCTGGGCAGCGGAGGTTGCAGTGAGCTGAGATCGCCTCCACTGCACCCCAGCCTCGGAAACAGAGCAAGACTCTGTCTTAAAAACAAAAACAAAACCAAAACCAAACTCTTGTTTTGCTTTGTTCTTTTTTATTTTCTTCCCTATATACTCCACACTTTAAAAAGTGATGAACCTCATGTTTTAAAATGATAGTGTAAACCCAGTCACTGGCTCCATGTCAGTGTCACTCTCCTTGTCCTCCAGTTGCCTACTGTCTCACTGCAAAGCTAGACATTGTAGACCCTCTCAGAGAAGAGCGTATGGTGCCAGGGATCCTGGTATTGTCTGCAAAGACCGAAAGGATGAAAGAATTGGAGCACATAGCAAGATGGGATATAATTAAGTGCCCGAGAACGCAGAGCCATCTCTTGAGACTGTAGGAGTACAGCTCTCTTTCCAAACATGGTATTTTCCCTGATGTGTTTTTTTTCCTCCACCAAAAATTTTCCACTTTAATTATGTGGGTTAGGTTAGAGGAGCTCACCTTCGGAACTTTACATGCGCAAACAGCTAATCCCTTCCATAAGACACATTTCTGGGAAAGCCCAAAAATAAATGTTTACAGTCTGTGCTGGGATAACAGAACCCAGTGGGATTAGAAATGATTTAAGCATTATAGGTCTATGCCCTAAGAAACAATTTTGGGAGAGCTCTCGCCTCTGCATTCTGGAATTCTGGCCTTCATTGTCACAAAGAGTGGAATCACTGGCAAAGCTCTCGGGTTAGACGCTTTCCCTGTTTTCCTGCTTTTGCCTTAAACACAAGGAGGATGGTTAATTAAAACCATATTTAAAATATTAAGTCAACTACCTAACGGAATGAAGTTTATTAAAATTGCTAAGCATTAAGTACAGAAACTTAAAATAGCCTGAGCACACTCTCCTTAGCCCATGCCCAAAATATCAGTTGAAAAGAGCCACCAGACATTGGTGACTGGGCACACACACGCACACACGCACACACACACACACACACATGCACACACACACACGCACATGCACGCACGGGCGCATACACGCACATGCACACACATCTGCATGCACACACGCACACACATGCACACACTGTACACGTCAATACATTGATATATCAGTAAACAGAATGCATTTCTCAAGTAACCAGCATTTGACAAGCAGAGGGCAAAGAAGATCTCCTAATTAAGGTATTTAGAAGACTGTTACTCCTCACAATTGTGAAATGGTCTCATACAGGCTCAGAGAAAATAGAGACGGACACTAGATATCACTTCAACTCTGTGTGTGTGTATGAGAGAGAGAGAGAGTCTCTGCCACCCAGGCTGGAGTGCAATGGTGTGATCTGGGCTCACTGCAACCTCCACCTCCCAGGCTCAAGTGATTCTCATGCCTCAGCCTCCTGAGTAGCTGGGATTACAGGAACCCACCACCACACCCGGTTAATTTTTGTACTTTTAGTAAAGATGGGATTTCACCATGTTGGCCAGGCTGGTCTTAAACTCCCAACCTCAAGCAATCCACCTACCTTGGCCTCCCAAAGTGCTGGAATTACAAGCATGCCCCTCCATGCCTGGCTCACTTCAACTCTTTGAGGCTCAGTTTCTCCACCGGTCATCTGGGGTCAGTGGTATCCCCTTTGGAAGAGTGTGGGGAAGGTTTAAGGAGAGACTTAGCACAAAGGAAGTAGGCACTTGTTCAGTGTAATGCCCCTTTCTCCCTAGGATCTCTTTGGGGTTCAACTGATAAAAGATGAGCATTACTCCAACAACCCCATGAGGTGAGTGTTATTATCCCAGTTATATAGATGAGAAACTCTTCCGAAAGGTATTCTCTGATGGTCTCTTCTAATGCTAAGGAATTCCCTTGTTTGTATCACAAATGAGTGGGGAATTGATCTGGAGTTTTAGAAATAACCAGGATTTGGGGAACAAGTGGAGAAGGATATTTCAGACAGGATCAAACCCTACATAGGCTCGTAAGGGAATAGGGAGTATAAAATGGTAAAAGATCAAAAGAAATGCAATCTTTTTTTCTTCTCCTCCCATATGGAGTGCTTGAGTACGGGTCAGTCAGTGAATTTATTCCTGGGCTTACAGTACCTGTCATTTATTAAGTACCCAAGCTGAGAGGCAGTATAGGAAAATGGTTAAGAAAAAGTGCTCTGGAATTGGTCTGCCTGGGTTTGAACTCTTGCCTGTCATTTATAAGCTGTGTGACCATGGGGAATTCTTTCAACCTCTCTGAGTGCTAGGTTTCACGATTGTAAAATGAAGATAAGAATAGATTCTTCACACAGTTGCTTTGAGAATTAATCAAGTTAATATATGCAGAGCTTTTGCCATGCCTGCACCTGTGAGCATTCAGCACATGGTAATTTGTTGTCGTTGCTGTTTTCATGTGCTTTATATAAATAAAACAAGATTGGGGTGGATTAAGAAATAGACCAAATCACCCAAATAGTAACAACTGGTAGAGACAGGATTCTAAAACCCAGCCCCCCTGTATTAGTCAGGAAAGGTTCAGTTATGCTGGGTAACAAACAAGCCCAAAAATTAAGTGATGTGACACAATAAAAGTTTATTCCTTATTCACACAAAATTCATTGCAGTTTTGGAAAATTATCCATCCATTTGCTTAACATTCCAGACGGTTTCACTCTTATCCATATCAACACTAGTACCCAGGATCACAGTGGCAAGCAAAGAACAGGAAGGTTGTATACCAGTAATTAAATGCTTCTACCCAGCAGGGACATGCATCACTTCTATTCAAATTTCATTGGCCAAACACGTTATGTGTTCACATCTAATTCAAGGAAAAGAACTACAATCCTTCGGAGGGCATAAAAGTTCAGGAAAATAAGTCACCAACCCGTCTTTTAACTACACTACATGGCACCACTCTGCTTCTGTCTGTGGTAGGACCAGCCATTGTCCAACTTTCTCTGCAGCCGTTAGTTTCAACAGCCTTTACTGAGGTTCAGGAAAAAGGATCATGGTTTTAAATGAACTAATTAATCAGCAGCTGTTCCATAACATCCAGCCTGCACCCTGTTCCTTTCTTGCCTGTCAGCAGTGCTCTGTGATCAGTGGCGGTCCTCGAGTTCCCCAGTCAGCTCGGCTGAGCCCAAAGACTCCCATCTCTGCATCTAGGGGCTCTCTTCTTCCCCCATCCATCACCAGGGCCCAGTGATCGTGCCTGTCGATGCCCAGCTCTCGCTTGATGTCTCAGTTCCGGAACAGAGATGCTCCAGCTGCTACCTGGGAAGGCTCTGGCCCCAAAAATATTTAGTTAGCAGCCATTCAGTTAAGTGGAATTGACTTTTTATCGGCTTTCCTCTGTACGGCTGCCACCAGCGAAGACTGTTTCCTTCTTCCCTCTTCTCTGCCTGTCAGTTTCCTCCACATTCCTATCGGCAGCCTTTAGCTCTGATCGATACTAACCGCTGTGTAACAGCTCACGCACGACTGCTCTGGTTTGCATCGATCAGACCCTTCTTCCAACAGGTAGTCAGCTATTTGAGGGAATGACTTGAGATAAACACCTACTTTTACTTCAGGCTAATTCATTTCAGGTGGATTTCAAGGAGGCTGTGCACCCCGTCTCTTAGACAAGCTGAAATTGGAGAGTCGAGATCCACACATTGCATGCTTGAGATCCTAGGAGACCTTTCTTCCTCTCCCCTTTTCTTTTTCTTTCCCTTGTATTTTGTAAGTGCCACTTATAAACAAGATACCAGGACTCCGGACGCTGAAAATGACACTTCAGAAAATGTGTCGGCCATCCATCCCTCTATCCTTTTAATGAGATGCATCTGGGACTGCAGGAAACCAAGGCTGCTGCTGAGGCAGCATTGTTGCTGGGCAACCAAGCATCCTTCTGGCTGCCCCAGAACGAAACTGACAGTGTCCTGCAACCCTGGTCCTCTCACTACCTTAGGGGGAGGTCCTTGAATCCACCCCTATCCTTGCTTCAGGCTCACAAGTGAAATTTACCAGGAGCTGATATTGCAAAATAGATTGCTATTTCGCAATTGATTGCGGTGCGTGGGAGTGGTACGACTTATTAACAGGTACACTGTAGCTAAAGAACACGCAAGACTGGCTGATATACACTTTTTTTTCCCAACACTTTTTACACTAAGTGTTGCTGAATGATACATCTGATACTATCACTTACCTATCACCTGGCTCCCAAACCTCCCATCTGTTTCTCTTTCTTTAGCCCCTACTTGACACATCCCGTACTTCAGTTCCCAAGTCCTGTTGTGCTTCCCCTGGCAGTGCAACGCCCTTGTCTCTTCCCTCCATCTAGGCTGCTATCATCCTCATTCAAGCCCTCATCACCTAGTGCTTGGACCTCTGCAGTATCCTCTGGCTGACTGCCTGGCTTCCAGTTGCTCCCTGCTTTGTTAGTTTGGCCTTGCACACAGATAAATTTCCTGGTGCCCCACTGTGATTGCCTTTCTCTTCTCTGAAGTCCTCAGTGGCTTCCCAGAGCCTCCCAGAATGGAGGACAAATTCCTCCGCCCATCATTCTGGTCCTTGGCTCTCTCCCCAGACTGTCTTTCCCCATTCTCTAGCACAAACCCCACACTAGTCCGTGTGAATGACTCACTGCTTCCTCTATGTGCATTTTTTAGCTCTGTGCCTAAGAAACAAATGCTGTGTCCCACACCCTCTTTGAAATTGGTTCAAATCCTGGCTCCATTACTTATTACTGTGTGACCTTGACTGAGTTATCCAACTTCTCTCTGCCTCAATTTCTCATCTGTGAAGTGGGATAATATACTGTATTAGGGTTCTCTAGAGGGACAGAACTAATGGAATAGATATGTGTGTGTGTGTATATATATGTGTGTGTGTGTTTGTATATGTATATGGGAGTTTATTAAGTATTAACTCACATGATCACAGCGTCCCACATTAGGCCATCTACAGGCTGAGAAGCAAGGAGAGCCAGCCCAAGTTCCAAAACTGAAGAATCTGGAGTGCAATGTTCAAAGGCAGAAAGCATCCAGTATGGGACAAAGATGTAGGCTGGGAGGCCAGGCCAGTCTCTCTTCACATTTTTCTGCCTGCTTATATTCTAGCCGCACTGGCAGCTGATTAGATGGTGCCCACTCAGATTAAGGGTGGGTCTGCCTTTCCCAGCCCATTGACTCAAATATGAATCTCCTTCTGCAATACCCTCACAGGCACACCCAGGATCAATATTTTGTATCTTTCAATCCAATCAAATTGACACTTAATACTAACCATCACAGTACCTACCCCATAAAGTAGATATGAGGACTAAACAAATTAATGTATGTATGACATCCAGAATGGTAGCTGCACATAGTAGGTTCCATGTCAGTGTTTGCTCTATTATTTTCTTCAACTCTCCAAGCCACAACTCAAAGCAGACCTCCTCCATGAATATTCTGCAGGTCACCCTAGCAAAAAAAAAAAAATACTCAACTCCTCTTCTGCCACCCATAGCTCTTGGTTTCTTCTGATAATATAATAATATTATAGCAAACAGTGATTCGGTGCTAGGTACATGATCAGTGCTTTCCTATGCATTATTGCTTTTAAATCCGTGAACTGGATACCTTCCATTTGCCCCAGATCTACTCTCCCACCTTCTCCACCTTGCGTTTTGCCACAGGAGGCTGATTTGAAGCCCAGTGGCTTCCAGTTGGATTTGGCCAAGGAGGATCACTGGCAAAATAGGCAAGAGGAAGAAGTTAGATCAGAGTTTGTATTCTCCCAGCCCCTTCCCAGCCATGTCACTGCAGAATAGACTCGTTTCTCAACACAAGGTTATGGGTCCTGTTAAGCAGCCCTCTTGACCCTGCTGCTCTGTCCTCAGCTTCTCATCACCATGCCCTGTCCTTGCTTCCCACCTGGGTGCTATCACAACCCCAGGGCACTACACCCTCTCTTGTGTTTCCCTGAACCCTGACCACATCTTTGTAGATGTAGTAGTCCCTGTATAAACTCTCCTCAAGTTATCCTAATACAGGTGTGTGACCCTGGCCGACACAGTTCTCATTACAACTCTGCAAAGCATGTACTGTCACTGTTACCGTTGTTACCAAAGGTGTCCAAGATTATATCCGAGTGGCAGGACTGAACCTGCCTGGCTTCAAAGCCCACACTCTGAATCGCTCTAGGGTATGGTCTGAATGTTGAAACCTAACCCTCAATGTGATGATATCAGGAGGTGGGGACTTTGGGAAGTGATTAGGTCATAGAGGTGGAGCTCTCATGAATGAATGGCTTTACTGATCTTATAAAAGAGACCCAGAGAGCTAGCTTGCCCCTTCCACGACATGAAGACACAGTAAGGAGACACCGTCTGTGAACCAGAAAGCAGGTCCTCACCAGACACCAGATCTGCCATCCTCAATGCCTTGATCTTGGACTTCCCAGCCTCCAGAACTGGGACAAATATATTTCTGCTGCTTAAAAGCTACCCAGTTTGTGGTATTTTGTTATGGCAGCTTGAACAGGCCAAAACACACCGTTATAATAGCTTTCCTATACAAGGTTGTAAGGTGGTTATTTCTACATGGATTTTTCCACCTGTGACTCAGACTGTATTAGTAGGTTGGTTGGTTGGTTTTGCCATCTGTCTTAGTCCATCTGTACTGCTATAACAAAACACCACAGACTGGGTAACTTATAAACAATAGAAATGTATTTCTCACAGTTTTGGAGCCTGAGAAGTTCAAGATCAACGTACTGGCAAATTTGGTATCTCGTGAAGTCCCGTTCCTCATAAACGGCATCTTTTTGCTGTGTCTTCATATTGCAGAAGGGGCAAACAAGCTCCCCTAGGCCTCTTCTATAAGGGCACAAGTCCCATTCAGGAGGGCTGCATTCTCATAATCTAATTACTTCCCAAAGGTCCTACCTCTTAATGACCCTAAATTGGGGATTAGGTTTCAACATATTAATTTCCAGGCAACACAAACATTGAGACCATAGCACCATATTTTTAAAATATCCAAAACTTAAGAGGCTTAAAACAACAATTATTAATTAGCTCACCATCCTAGGAGATGGCAGTTTGGGTTGGGCTTAGCTGGGAAGTTCTTCTGCTCAGTTCACCTGAACTTGTATATGTGGCTACAGTCACATGAGGACTGTCTGAGGCCTGGTGGTCCCAGATGGTGTCACTTATGTGCCTGGAACCTTGGAGGGATCCACAAGGGTGACCAGGCTATGTGTCTCTAGTAAGCCAGTCTAGACTTCTTCACATGATGGCTGGATTCCAAAAATAGCAAAAGAGAGCAAACCCCCCTGTGCAAGCACTTGTCAAGCTTCTGCTTGCATTAGGTGTCCTGATGTCCTGTGAGTAGTATAACCCAGATTCAAGGGCTGGTGAAACTGACTCCACCTCTTGGTGGGAGAAGCTGCAAAATACTGCAGCCATTTTTTTTTTTTAAATGTACCACATGGGACACTCCTTTCCGGAAAGATCTATGCCTTGACAACTTCATATCCTGTATCCTCATAACCCAAGTCAGAAAAGCAATGTGGGGGCTGGCCCTGTGTTTTAGAGGGTGGGGAGTGTCCTCTTTATAGCTTGGTGAACATCTGACACTCTTCCTGCCTGTTACCACCAGACTGAAAATAATTCTGAAAGGGAAGTCTCTTAAAACGTAGCAATGAGGGAGTGGAATTTTTTTTTAATTAGGCATCAGCCGAAATTTTAAAAGAATCTTTTCTTTTCTTCAGTTGCCTCTCCCTTGTTATACATTTTAACTCCACCCAGCGGCCGACCACATCCAGCCTGGGCTCTCCTTTTTGCTGCTCCACACCAGTGTTTGCTTGGCAGCAGTGCTCAGCTCCCAGGGCCACGGAAAGCTGAGGGAGAAGTCTTGCTTCCTGTTCTCCTCACTTCTTATTTTCTTTCCTCTGCTCCTTCTGGGGCTCACCCTTAACTGCTCACTCCTGCTCTGTGCCCTTCCAGTGTCCCACTAAGGACAGGATGCTAGGAAGGGCTGGACAGTTTGTCTATAGGGAATCCCCTGATGGCCCCCCAAGTGGGGCACTGCACCCCACTGTGGCCTAGAGACACAGCCAGAAGACTTGACCTCCAGGAAGCCCCAAGACAGAAAACAAATCCTAAAAGTAGTTATATGTGGCCAGGCACGGTGGCTCACACCTGTAATCCAGCATTTTGAGAGGCCAAGGCAGGCAGATCACTTGAGGTCAGGAGTTCGAGACCAGCCTGGCCAACATGACGAAACCCTGTCTCTACTAAAAAAAAAAAAAAAAAAAAAAATCACAAAAATTAGCCGGGCATGGTGGCATGCACCTGTAGT